TTTTTTTTTTTTTTCTTAAACTGCAGATTAGAAAAAGGAGAAACGGAAACTTCCTTCAAGCATTGTTTTTTGAGTGGACTTTTGAAGTGAAGCTTTGTGTGTCACTTCTTTAGGGGGTCGGCTGATTGTTTTATTGAGGCTGCAGTTTCCCCTTATTACTTAGAAGAAATATGGAGCTGTTTGTCTGGAGTGAGTCACGGAGGTCACATTCTCTCCTGCCTTTAAAGGCCGTTCACACTCACGCAGCTGAGGATCCTGCGGAGGACAGAGTCAGGGCTCACACGCTGCAGGTCACACGTGACTCACATTAGTGCCACTAACACAAAGACAGTCTGTGAAACACAACATGTTATTTGGAGCAGTTTTTTGTGTATTTTTTTGTGTGTGTGCAGACTGAAAACTGCCCTTCCACTGAATGAAAGCCCTACCATGATTGGGTGGAGCAGGTGTGACCAGTGGAGATAAAGCTCAGGCTCAGCATATCTTCAACCTCAGATGGTGAAGTTCTGAGCAGTGTTTGTGACCAAAGCCATGTTTTTAAAACCACCGTTACCAGTGCTGCTCACTTTTATTCCATGTCTGTAAAATGTTAGACTTTAACGAACGCACTTACCCAAAAACTTGTCTTAATTGAAATGTTTAAACGTTTATATTAAAATGTTTTCTAAAACTTTTTTAAACCTATCTTTTCTATATTCAGATTATTTTTAGGACCTTTTGAGTGATACATTTCAGAGTTTTTTAGGTTGTAGTGCTATGGTGCTATTCCAATAATATTTGATAAAATCAAATATGAGTCCTAGCTCTTAATGTTGCATGGGAAACGTAGTAAAAAAGTGTGTTTTACTGTGTGTACGGGTTTAAAAATGCACTGGATGATGAACTATGTTTCTTCAGAATTTTAATGATTTCTTTTCACACTCATTTAAAAGACATTTTGAATAAATTTAAAGAAACCACTTCAAGTATTTTTCACAGTACTGCAACTGTCGGTGGAATTCAAATTTGGTCACAGGATTGTGTGAGTACAACTCTGTGTATTTTTTTTTACAAAACACATTCCCTTAGAATTGACTTTTTGTTTTTTAATTCAAAGGATAATCAAAAGAGAATATTTTGAGGTTTCTCTGGGCAAAATCCAGAATCTTCCAACTCTTCCAAAGTTGACAATAAAATCTATTAAATCTTTCAGTTACAAACAGATTTCTTTTTTAACCTTACCTTTGTTTGGATAATAATGTCATGTCTATAAAAACTATGAGCCACCAGCCTAACTGGATAATATATCAAATGTGATGGAATGCATTCATATGTACAGTAACACAAAGGGCTCAGCTCCATGATAAATCAGCAGAGAAATATACACTGGAGGTAGTGACAAAATGTTGTCAAAGTGATTAAAAAAATGTTTTTCTTCTCCTCCAAAAATGTTTGACCAGCACTGATTGGATCAGTAAAGTGCAGTCAGTCCTGGGGGATTCTCTCTTCCTCTGCACTCAGCTCACGCCTATCTGTACATGATTCCTCTGATGCATTACCTAACATCTGGGCATGGAGCCACATACTGTACAGTAGCTTCTTTCCAACAGCAGGGGGAGCACAGGGATGTTCAATTACAAGGTTTTTACAGTGAATGGCAGCAAACAATCGAATTGGAGTGAATGTGTTTGTTGATTTTTTGTTTTTTAAACTAAATGAAGCGCCGTCACAGTGTTGTTGTTGGTCTACAGTACAGGAATGACTGTCCAGGTGACTGTCTTAAATGACCGGTCATTCTGCCACGTTGCAGTTGAACACTCTCCCACAGTGATGACTGTTCTGTTGTCATGAGAAGTATTTACGACACACTGCCTGCTCCGTCTTATCACCGTGGAGGTTGAGGTGAAAAGCAAACACTGTTATTGATTAGCTGCATGGAAATGTACACATTAGTTGTTTGTCAAAGGGAAGATGAAGGGAAAAGCTTCTGATTGGTTGATGTGTGCCAGCGGTAAAGTTCACGCCCAAGTTAACGTCTATTTGTTATGGTCTAATCGTCTGAACATGTTCCTAAAAATGTATCTTAGGTGAAGGTTAAAAATCTGAATTTCCTGTTGACTTCAGACTTCCAACTCACGTCAAAGAATGGATCTGTTTTTGTCGTCGCTCTTCTAAAGAATTAGAATTAAGAGCAAACATCCTCGTCTCCACAATGAAGACTGGCTTTTTCAAAGGCGTTTAATGTGTCCGGTTCATAATATAGTGATGCTTTAATCTTGATCTCCGAGTGAGGAAACGGACCTGTTCTCCACCTTGATCGATTTTTCATATGACCTTCATCATCATCGCACGTTAAAAAGCATTGAAGAAAAAGTCTTCCTTCATGTCATTCTGTAAAGTCTAAGATAAAATGAGGGAAACAAAGTTCTCTGTTTAACAGCCAAAGAAGTTCCTTCACTGATGCTTCATGACTTTGAACTGAAAATCAGACGCTTCTAATTAAAAGGTCCTAAGATGCAAACAAAACCCACAGCAGCCTGTTTCCTGTGCTTTAACTGCTTTTCCAGGTCACGACTAACAATACGACTCCTGTGGGAGGAAACTACCTTCTTGAATTCTCAGGATATCTCCACAAACTGTTTCATCGTTTGACCAATCTTTTCCTGTCACCAGTGTTTCAAGACGTCCACGTCATGATCTTCATCGGTTTCGGCTTCCTGATGACCTTTCTGAAGAGATATGGGGTCAGCAGGGTAGGGGTCAACTTACTCCTGGCGGCCTTCGGCCTGCAGTGGGGCCTTTTGATGCAAGGCCTGTGGCACATGGAGGATGGCAAGATCAAGATCAGCATCTTCAAGTATGACAGAACAAAATTGAGTGGTTGAAAATTGTGCCTTATGCCAGAGAATCACACAGTATATGTTACAGCATTACAGATGTATGATGGCAGCCGTTTAAAGATATACAAAATACCCATTTAGCCGAGCAACAGCCAGAACTTAGTGGGACATTTGGTGAATACTTATACCAAATATAATTAGCCTCTGTCTGTGTCACTTTAGGAGCTTTTATTCTCTGTCCTTTTTAATTTTTTAATGTAAAAACAGAATCATCAACGCTGACTTCAGCACAGCCACGGTCCTCATCTCCTTTGGAGCTGTTCTTGGTAAAACCAGCCCTGTGCAGCTCCTCATCATGACCATCCTGGAGATCACCATCTTCTCCATCAACGAACATCTGGTGGCTGAAATTCTGAACGTGAGTGAAGCTCTGCGGCACATGTTTGCATTTCAATACCACGACCACACTCCTGTCATTTTAAATCCACTCTCCTGCCACAGGCTAACGACGTTGGTGCCTCCATGATCATCCATGCTTTTGGAGCCTACTTTGGTCTATCCGTGGCTCGAGTTCTTTACCGCCCCGGTCTGCAAAATGGACACGACAATGAGGGATCAGTTTACCACTCGGATCTCTTTGCTATGATTGGTAAGAACCTCCGGCTCGTTGGACTGAATTAATTCAAACCTTAGTTTGCAGACGCTTTAGAAAAGTGATTTATACAAAGGGTGTTTGGTCGTGCTCCAACACAGGAACCGTCTTCTTGTGGATGTTCTGGCCCAGTTTCAACTCGGCCATCGCCGACCCGGGCTTCCCTCAGCTCACTGCTGTGATTAACACCTACCTCTCCTTGGCTACTTGTGTGCTCTCTGCCTACGCCATCTCCAGCCTCGTCGAGCACAAAGGAAAACTGGACATGGTGGGAAAGTGGCCTTTATTTTCCAACAATTAAAACTGAAAAATAACAAACATGTATGATTTTTATTTGCATATCCTTTATGTTCTGTCAGGTCCACATTCAAAATGCTACTTTGGCCGGTGGTGTTGCCGTGGGAACATGCGCTGACATGAACATTGAACCATTTGGAGCCATGCTGATTGGATTAGTGGCTGGCGTCATCTCTACCCTCGGCTTCAAGTATCTCACTGTGAGTCAACAAGTGGAATTGATGATCATTTCCAGTTAAAAATGTGTATAAATGGTCTTTGTTCGCAGGAAACACAATTTCATAAAAGTGTCAAGCTGAAAAATATCTGACTCCCCCTTTTCAGTTGTATTATTTGTAAAATGGATGTATACTGTTTCTAAAGTGAGATGAAACATCTCTTTCCTCCTGCAGCCAATCTTGGCATCCAACCTGGGCATCCAGGATACCTGCGGTGTCCACAATCTGCATGGCATGCCTGGAATCCTGGGCGGTTTGGCTGGTATAGTGGCTGTGGCTCTGGGAAAGACAAATAAGTAAGAGCTGTGAGCGCTCATATACAGTAGTATGTCTACTTACTGTGTTGCAGCTTTGAAATCCTGTCCTACTCCAGCTAACAGTGGTGTTCTCTCTCCTTCTTATCATCAGAGGTAGCGCTACCATGCAGGCTGCTGCCCTGGGTTCATCCCTTGGATTTGCTCTGGTTGGAGGAGCAATCACTGGTGAGTGAAAGTGTGATATTAAAGCTCTCACACACATACACACATATATACGGTGTAACAGTGAAAAATCTTTGTGGCTACATGAGAACAACTGAACAAATAATTCATTTTCTGTCTCCAGGTTTCATAATGAAACTGCCATTCTGGGGACAGCCTCCAGACCAGAACTGTTTTGATGACTCTCTTTACTGGGAGGTGAGAAATATGAGACTTTATCATCCCTGCCTGCTCAGTGTCCAATAATTGAAATGAAAGATGTAGATGTGTGGTTGAAGTTATTGAAAATGTGTGGCTGGGGTCAGGTTGGACACCAAGGTGGCTACGTGAATTAGTAGAAGACAAACTTAATATTCTGGCTTTGTTCATTCTGTTCACAATATATGACATTTGACACCATGAATTGTAACATTTTGAAAATCTTTTTGTGCCGTAGCTTACTCTCAGCCACCCTTTAGTAATGGGCCTTTATATTTCTGATGTGATGCCCCCTTTTTTCTTACAGAGTTCCATTGACTTGAAACATTTGAACTCTAACATGTTTGTGGAAGATGATATGTGCCTGTGTGTATTTCTACCCCAGGCCTCAGTTTGAGTAGTTCCTGAAATAAATAAAATTCCTTTTTTGCAGGTTCCTGAGGAGGAGCATGAGGAGCATGAGGATATGTTGGGTCAAGCCGATCACTCAAAGAACAAAGCCGAGGCTTGAAAACAAGTGCCCACCACCAACTGCCAAACGAAACAACTGCGAAGGAAAAGAATTAGACACAGTTGGACCAATTAATAATTTTTCTGTTTCTAATCAGAAGTGGCAGTAAATCATTTACACGGAGAAGATGCTAACTTAATTACTTACTGTAGTGCCATTTTGGTTGGCGGTGCGGGAGGGTGGGGGGTTGGGTGCGGGGGAGAAAGATGAAATCAACAGTCAGGGATTATTCTTTTACTTATTTTTTTAAATACATGAATTAACCCAAAACATCCAAAGGACACAACAGTAGCTCCATTAGCAGCCCCATGAATTTTACAGCTCTTAGATGTGTTTTGCCTTTATTTTATAATATTATAAGCATGTCTTCTATGTTTTACATCATGTACTTACTCTCTTATATTTTAACACAGTTCCTCTATGTTACCTCACTTGTGCCCAGATCTTGCTGAAACAGTCATAATTCCAAACCAACAGTCCGGCACTGCAGTGGACAGAGACAGTCTGATGACACTCTAATAACTCCAGTAACTGTCATGTCCCTTCAAGTCTCTCATAACTGAGCAATGATTGCATTTTGAGCTGTTTTATAAGCTTAAAAGCTGGGCAGCCTTTTTTACATTAAGTGTATTCTTACATTTATCTACATTTTAATCTAATGAACTGATGTGATTAGTTTATTTAAGCCCTAACATTTTAAACGAAGACCATTGGTACAGAAAAGCCTCTATTTCAACTATTTTTTTTGTCATTTCCCTCTGAATGTGAGTCACTGATGGATAGCTTTCTGTGTCAAACATTTGTCATAACCACTGGTGTTCAGTATAACACAGCATTGAAGCTCTTCTGGTTCATTGAGGATCCAGGAGAGTTTATTTTCAATGACTGTGTTTGGATAACAATCAAAGGTTAAAATAAAAGAAGGTTTTTGTGAAAAAGCTTGAGCTTGTCAATGACTTGTGATGACCAGACCTCACAAACACATCCAGATCATATATTTTTATACAGCAGGTGTACCTATGGCCTAATGTGTGTAATGTACAAATAAATGTTTTTGTACAATAGCAGAGTGTGTGTGCTTTTTCTGTCAGTATGAGTAAAAGTTCACAAAATTGAAGAGCAAAAGAAAAACTAAAAATTACACAAATTAATGGAAATTAAAAATTATTTCGATGAAGAAAATCTATGTAATTATTTAATTAAACTGTGAAGGGTTGAGATTTTTGGTTTTGGTGATATTTTGTTCATGTAATTAAACAAATCTGTTTGGAAAATGTATCTTCAATTTATTATCAAATAAAACAAAGATTGCAAACTTTATCAATTTTTTTCTATTGCTTAAACGTATATATTGTATTCTAATGTAAGTAAACAAACAATTATTTAATTATATATACAATTTAAGTTCATATGTATTATTATATATTATTAAGTATTATTTTCGTTTGAATAACCCTTTAAATGTTTTCTTCGTTTTTTTGTGGGTGTTATTTCTCTTTCGCCCTTCAAAGGCGCTGTCGAAGTCTCCTTGTAGTTTTCTTCTTCTTGTTTGAAAACGTCACCGTTCGCGGTGCATTAGGGGTTACAAAATGGCTACCGTATCTGCCAACCAATGCTAACAAACAAGATATAAGTACAAACTCGTTACATTTTATTTCTCTATTTTTCCAAATCTTGCTATATCTGTGCATAAACATTTTCACACTTATTTCCAGAAGCCATGGTGAGTTGTTATTTTTAACCTTAACATTTGTGGAGGTTTTTTTAATATACCTGAAGGCGTGATGTAGCATCAGTTTCAGTAAAGCCTGTTGCAGAAGCGATAAAGGCTGAATAAGCTTCATCAAGTGTTTTGAACCTTAGAGAGCACAATCATCCACTCAAAAATAAGTATTTTTACTTACTTACTCGGGGTTTGCTTAGGTCTCTTGCTATTGAGGTGTTGTACAATCGTCAATCGATACTATATTAAAGTAAATAATACCCCGTTGTACGTGATGTTAAACATAGCAAGAATTATGGTGAATGTATGTTATGTTATTATCATGTTTGGTTTTAAGGAAATAATGTATGGCATCTAAAGAGTTAACAGATGTTTATAACGTAAACCAAGGTACGATTATTTTTTACCATTGTCAACAAAAATATACCAAAAAGATAGGTCTCGTATAAATTATTTTCTTCTTTTATATTGGTTTTTGCGGAATTTCAACATTACAAAAAATGACATTTTAGCACAATTTATACATTTATGTATGTATAATGCAGGTGAAATTATCTGCAGCATGTTTGTAAAATGTTATTCCACTGACATGGCTACATCATAGAGCTGAATTTATGAGTGACTTTTGAGGCTTCTTATGTTAACTGCATTGAACCTGTCACCTTTTAAAATATTCACATTGTTGATGTTGCTCTTTGTATCTAGTCAACAAAAACAGAGTCCAGAGTGTCAAGCTCAAGTTCAAGATCAGAAGAAAGGAGGAGATCAAGCAGTAGAGGCAAGAAACATTCAAATAAGACAGTCTGTGTTTATTTCTCGACGTTTCAGTGTACTTTTGAAAATGTTTTATTATTATTAAACATATTATTTACTTTATATAAACCACTTTTTTTCAGACTCCATGTCGTTTATTTTTCTTCTCAGGGCGTGAAAAAAGGAAACGAAAGCGAAGTCGTAGTAGATCTTCATCCTCTTCCAGTTCATCCTCATCATCTTCCTCGTCATCAGCATCGTTTTCATCAAGTTCATCACACTCATCCAGCTGCAGTCCAAGTAGCTCCAGTAGCAGTGGTAAGTTTCCAGTGCTATCAGTGCAGACAAACATTCCTACCTGTTATTTTGGGGGTTTTTTAGTTTGGTATAACAATTTATATGTCCATGGTTCAGTTGGACTCACAAGATCGTGTTATTTATTTAGATTCCCGTGGCAAATCCAGGAAGCAGTCTAAGAAAAGGAAAAAGGACAAACAACACAAAAAAGTATTTTTTTTGTGCCTTTTTTTAAAATGAAGTATAAATAAGAAATAAAAAGTAAATAAGAATGCTTCAAGTCATCTACTGAAAAACAAACCGTGTGTCTGTGAACAGAAGGGGAAGAAAGAAAAGCGGCATAAACGAAAGAAAGACAAGAAAACTAAAGGAGAGGAGGACTCTGGACCTGTGCAGATCTCGAAGGTAGTCGCTATTGAACATTAGGTGATCTCAGGTCCAAACACATCTTTTTCACACATGTGTTTCTCCTTCAGTACCTGAAAGACAAGAAAAAGGGCAACTATAGCATGATTTCAGGGAAGAAAATTAAGATGAAAGTCAAGAAATCAAAAAAAGACAAACAGGTAATGTCACACGTTTTTGTTGATATCCAGGTTTCTTTTTTCTTTTTCTTTAGAAACTGATTTGGTATAACTGGCACTTGCACTTTTTGTCTTTTTTCTCTAGCGAGACAAAAATCGAGCGGAACTATTGGAGTTCCTGAACTCTACTCTGTGATGTCACAGTGAACGTTGCTCAAGGTGTTGTCAGACCAGAACAGCAGTAAGAAACAACAACTTCAGATCACAGTACATCACAACTGAGGATTGTTTGGGGAACGTGATTACTTCACGTTGCATCGACACACGGTGGCAGCACTGACCCAGCTGGAGAAGAAGTTTTTTGCGTCACATTGGAATGTGTCCTGTGCGCTTGTTTTGAGTTATTCCAATCAACAAAAGACTATTTGAAATGAGCTCAACTGCCAGAACATGGACGTCTCAGCTAAGCATGTGGTTAATGTTGGGATGCCTCTTTGAAGAACAAATTACCAACAGACAGTTTATCAAAGCTTATCAAACACTGACAGTTCAACAAATATTTTTTTATAAGTTGTAATTTTAATTATTGTGATGTGGCTATCTACCACAACTGTACTTTTTGAATTGGAAAGAAAGTCCAACAACAGAAATGTAAATTTTTCGTTCTTTCTTTCACCAAGTTTACCGTTACTCTCTGATACATTGAGGATTCCTTACCGTAACCATAGCACCAACAGTTGAATGTGTAAACAGGAAGATTTTCATAACCTTTATTAACTCAATTTTAGACATTACAGTCTCTCTCGATTTCCACTGTCTAAACAAGGGAACAAATGTGTTCTGTGTTCTAACATGTCAAATATCAATGTAACCGGTGTTCTTACTTCCAAACTGATATTTTTAGAAATTTAACAAGACAGAGTTGCTATAAACACCTCTTTGTAAAATGTGATAAGTGAAAATTTTGTGTTGGATTGTACCAAGTTTAGAAAAAGGACAATAAAATGCTGGAAAGATTTAGATGTATGTCTAACGTGCCAAAACAAATCCCTGTCGATGTTTAGTGTAATGTTTATAATTATTATATTTTCATCAGAACTGCGTTATCTGTGGCGGGTATTCAATTTTGGCACAAAAGGTACTCGTGGTAATGTCAAGTGTTGCGTAAAGCTCTTTACCGACGCTGCGTGTTAAAATAAAGCAGAAACCTAATGTGACTAGACTGTAAAGAATTCATGTAATCTTTTATTTTGGAAAGTAGACAACGGGAGTGGCTCCGCGGCTCGTTAATGGACTCGCAGGTGCACGGAGTTGAAGTAAGAACACAGTACCTAAGGTCCTATATGAGTGTCACAACAAGTTGTTGTCAACTACCGTTTTGTTTGGGCCTAATTTGGTTCAATTTGCATGGGAAACGGTTCTTAAAAAGAATACTGCAGGTCTGTTTTACTTCTTTACTTGTCTTGTTAGCTCTACCTCACGTAAACATATCTCCACTGTTTCAGAAGCGTTAGCATCTGTCGTGTGTTTGCGACATAAATCAACGGTTAACAAGTGTCATACCATTGTTGCCACTGTAATGTCGGTACAGTACAACACATTTTCAATTCAATAGCAAGTAAATATTAAGGCAAATGAGTGCACTTTTTGTCATTTTTAACTTTTACAGGAACTGATTAGTATAAGATTTTACTGGTGTTCCAAATTTTAAGCATTAGAAAGGATACAGCCAGCTTTTCAAGTTAAATATATTATCTATTATATATAAAAATAAGGACCTCTAGAACTGAAATACTTTGCATCAGGATTTAATACGACATAAAATAAACAAAAAATCGAATAAGAGTGATAATGAAATAAATAATAAAAAAAATGTACGTGAAAATGTGCATTCCACAATTTCAAATGTAAATAATGCACTGACAAGTAACATTCAAACATTTCTATGTAAACGCAAACTGGATAAGTTCTTCACATATACAGAAAAACTGGGGGTATTTAAAATACTGTGGCCTGTTAACAAGTTGTTTCTAGTCACAAAGTATTTTTTCCAATTTATACCAATGCCACTTGAACGCAGCACTTAGCACAGGCCCTTCTGGTCTCTTGGGTAGGAGTGGCAGCACCCAGAGTGCCAGATTTTTAAAAAATGACTCACACCACGGTGCTTATGAAAATATATATTATACACTACCAGGCCTCTTCATTATGATACCCGACTGATCAGAATGATGATGAATTTTGAGCCGTGTACACCAATCCTTATTTCCTCCATCCTGTGGAGCAGCAGCAGCAGCAGCTGTGTCCCACCTTCACCACCTTCTGAAGGCCTCACATCAAACCACCTTGCTGCTGCTGGATCCCTTGTACCTGAAGTCAGGCATGCTCCACACCCTTGTGGTTTGCTCCTTCCTCTTCATCCCACGCTCCACATCCTCTGACACCGTCTTCAGGTCGCTCATCCCGGCTCCGTCAGATACCGCAGAGGTCAAGCCCACTGTGCTCCCAAAAGGGTTGATCCTGATCCTGGACCTAAAGTTGATAAGGGACATGCTCATGGCCCGCTTGTTGTTCCATTGGCGGGCGAGTCGCTGAGCCTCCTGCTCCTCCTTCAGCTGCTCCAGAGACTCCAGGAGAACGGAGCGGAAAAGGCCGGGAACCTCTTGCACTTCGGGCTCGTTGGTCTGCATGACCTCCCTAAACCTTGGCAACACAAAGACAGATATATTTAATTTGAGCTATGAAGTCAATTAGCTCACTGCTCAGTCCTGGTCCTTGATCTGAACTGAGCCAAGAGCTGATCAAAATCTACTTCAACAACAGTCTGGAAGTCCACATGTGGAGAATAGGTTTATAGAATAATACAATTAATAATACAAGAAATGAAGCATGCATGTTGTGTTTCACATTTAATTTAAGTATTTAATGAACAACAATAAAGCAGTCTGGTTTTTTAGAGTGAGGAGTAAAATAAAAACAGCATTGATTAATTGACACGCTATTTTTATACTGCTTTTTTTGTACTGACAAGTGACAGTCTTTGCAGGTTGACATTAATCAGCACCTCACCACTGTGGCAGCTGCTGCATATCTTTTTCTAATGGGCTTTTCTTTGACTCCTGACAGGCAGAGGAGCTGAGATCCTAACAGCTGGATCCCTGTTCACACCTGCATCTGACTTCTACTTTATTCTGAATGACATTTATTTGGCGATCCTCCTCCTCATTCTCTCAGTCCACCGTGACCATGTCCTTACTTGAGTATGACCAGTCCACAGCAGGACGGCGGCACCTTGGAGCAGAGATCCTCCAGGCCTAGCCTCTCTCCAGTGCTGATGGTGTAGTTGGAGCTTGGCACGTTGGCCAACCAGCTGTAGTCCACTCCTGTCTTCATTCGTCGGTACTCGTTCTCCCTCTCCCTCTGCTGCCTCTCTGCCTCCTTCAGCTGCCAGCTGAACTCAAACATGAGCGTGTCGCTGACCACGTCGGCAGGATCGCGCCGCGAGCTCCGGTAATAAGGCTCGTTCCAGCTGAGCCAGGAGGCCATGACCTTGGCGGTCCACTGATGAGGGAGAAACGTTCAGCGTAAGTAATCATGCTGAAATAATGGACTGTTAACAGAAAGCCTGGTACGGACAAATTAGACTCACTTTTTTACTGGGTCAGTGGCATTAGATGGAAATAGTAATTATGGTAATGTTTAATTGATTTTATTGACAGCAGTGCTCTCTGTGGGCAGAGAGAAGTCCAGTGAGATTAGTGTCAGCCTCAGTCTTTATTTAAAGACTGAGCTGATTAACTGTCCAACAGTCAGACACAGTGCAGCTTCAAAACCAAACTGAGAAAAAAAAATATCCAGAGGAAAATTAAGGTCTGGATTTTAATGTTTGATTTAATTTACTGTGTAGAACACTGGGACAAACTGACTGTGTCTCTGTTATTGTTCTATGGTCTGGTTTTTTATTGGATATTTAAAATACACAATTCACAGTAATTGTCAAAAGCTAGTTTTATTTTAGTTATAGTCTGAAACATGATTGAATTTTGACCAAATAATTGTATTTCAGTGTGTGTGTTTGTCTGAAATGAGGCTGGAGTTTCCAGATGTCCAACACAACGGGAGGAGTCAGAAGATCAAGGTTTGGGTAAGGAACTTTTTTTTTTTTTTTTCAGATTTCCTGTATCTATGTATTTATAGAAGAAGTACTAATTTTTATAACAAACTTGTGTGTGTTATGAGCATTCTGTAATTTATTTTTAATTATATACTCCTATGCTATGATTATAAAATCCTACATAAAAGGTGTTTGTTTGATTTTCTTTAAAAAGAATTCAGATCCATTTGGGTGATTTCATTCTAATCAAATTTATACTTATTTCTAAACATATTTAATTAATGGGGCAGATTTAATTACCCAAATGTTTGTAGCAGCAGCAACAGAAAAAAACAGGTTAAATGCTGTCTCCTGGAAAACAAGTCAATAATTCTTCATTCTTACTTTTTCTTAAAATTATTGTGCTGAAAACCCTGTTTAACATTCTAGAAACAGTCGGTCAGGACCGTTTGGGTTGTTTGGCGTTAGATGGAATAAAAAAAACAATTATATCGTCTTACCTCGTTATTCTTTTCTGGAGTTGCCCTGGACTCTAAAATGAAAATAAAAAAATAAAAACTATAATGAGGCTTTATACGTCAATAAAGTAGAATTATTATAAAATCCACACTGACCAGAAGACAAGACAGGCTGACTGAAAGGCAGAAGAGAAAAGGATTTTCTCTCCGTGCTCTTCCAGTCCCTATGTATTATCTCTCCCTCTCTCTCTCTCTCTCTCTCTCTCTCTCTCTCTCGCCTCCTCCTCCTCTCTTCCTCCTCCAGCTCCCTGGAGCCTTGCTGGCCTGTCTTTACTTGTTGCAGGAGGTTGGGGAGCTGTTGGATGGATCACAGGCCTTGATGAAGTACTTGTGAAGCTTTTTTTTTTTTTTTTACATTTTGCCGTTGCCATAGTGAAGCTCTCAGGCTTTTTTTTTTCTCCCTCCACAATGAGCTCCATCAGCTGGAGAGCGATGGAGAGGCAGATAAAGGGGACAGAGGTAATTCAAAGCCTGTTGCTTAGAGGACAGGGTTAGTGTAGTGTGACAGTGAGGGGTGTGTGTGTGTGTGTGTGTGTGTGTGTGTGTGTATGCTGCTGCCACATCTGCAAGAGGTCGTTCATGTGAAAATTACTTCCTACTGATGATAAGGCTCAATGGCCAACAACTGCTAATTACAGGCAGAGGTGTCTATTAGTGTGTGTGCATGCATACTTGTTTTTCCTGTCTCTTTAGTACCAGCTGATTTGTTTAGGGACCAGTGAATGCCCAGTTCCTGGAAGTCCTGGTTGTTACGAGGCAGAACCTAATTTCTTCTAAAGCCTGAATGTTGGTCAACATTGTAGTGAAATAAAGTACATGGTATTTGGGTTTTGATCATAGATGATAGGTTCGTATAGTGACTAGGGGGTAGTTAAGGAGTGAAGGGTCATTTTATTCCATATGTTTGGGTCATTATTGTTGTTTCATTCTCAACTCTCAAAGCTATAGTACACAGAATATACTGATGAAAAAAACCCCAGAATGATACATGATAAATGGTCTTGTAAACACCAGTGTTATCCTGTATGTAAGTGACCAAGGTGTCTATATGAAATATTCACCTGTTTAAATAAGGACCATTAGGTGGCAGTAACGTCACTATAAACATAGCTGTTCTTGCAAGCTGCTACAAAACACGGTTGATGCGCAGAGAAGGTTAGGGTTAGAGCTGGAGTTAGGGTCAGAGTTGGGTTCTGCTTAGTGTCAGGGTTAAGGTTAGGAATGAGAGAGATAGAGAGTCAGAAAATGCATCACATACAGAGGTGTCCTTGGAGACGAGTGTGAGCTGTTGGATGATGAAGACTGAATGTGCCGTTGGAGTGTAGGTGGACTTCAAGGTCTGCTGGTTTGTTCTGTGTGTAGGTGTAAGCAGCTGCGCCATTTTCTCTTCACTTTCAGCGTAAAGTTAAACTTGTCATCCTTCACAATCCTCACATCTGCCAAAGATCTGTTCTTCCTTTCTCCCTTTCCTCCTTATCACCCTCCTTCCTTTTCTCCTTCTCTTCCTCCTGCTGCTAAGATATAAAAGCTGGGTGACCTTTGAACCCAGTTTACTCATCACAGAATATAAACTACCACAAGCAGCGATGGCTGGAAAAAAGCATCTGATTTTCAACTTGAGAAACGGCTGTTGTATGCTTCAGGCTACTTTATAAATAAAACAAAGTACAAACAGAGGTCTGAGAAGTCAGAGGCAGCCGTGCACATGCCTGTTGGAAATGTAATAGGCAGCTAGGCTGCCACAGAGCCAGTGCTAAGCATCATTAAGCAGAGTCAAAGGTCGTGTTTTAAATTAATCTTTCTTCATGACTTACCTCATTTTACAGACATTCTGAAGTGTGATTGTTCAGTCGTGTGGTCACTGCAGCTCCAACGGTGACAGATGGACAGGTGGTCAGCAACTCAGCCTTTAATCCACACAGATGGCAGCACAACTCCTGTAAATCTATCAAATCCCATGTTTACCTCCCCCCAGTGACTCCGTCCCTGACGGTGCATCCACAGTTTGCTAATGTAGGTGAATGGAGGTGAAACACCTGCTCTGACACATCACAGCTTTTAAAACTATTAAATACAGCAGGTCTGAGAGAGCCTCAAACTGATGGACCAGTGACGCCCGACTATACATAATATATTCTTCAAATATTTATGTGAGCTAAAGCAAAACTTACTTTTTCAAAGTCTGTAAAGCATTTTACCTATTAATTAAAATTGAAGAGAAAAAAAAATATTTACCTATTAATTAAAATTGAAGAGAAACAAATGAGTTATAAAGACAAAATTAAGCCTTTTTGATGTTATTTTTTGATTCAGATTGAACCATCTATGGCTTCAAGGCTCTGCCAATGTGGTCAGTCTTTACTGTTAATTAATATTCCTTTTTTTTTCTTTTAATAAAACAATAGGTCCAGGTTTTTCCTCTTCATAATTCCCTAAGTACTGCGCGTGGGTACTAAAGCAGTTACAATACTTATTCGGCCACAGCACCATCTGGTGGCAGCAGGATGCATGAGGCTGAGAACGGCGCTTCATTTCATCGCCATCATCCTGATTATCTCAGTAAGAGCTGATTAGGTCACGTGACCCACCTGTGAGTCAGAGCGAAGCCTGAACCTATTAGACCGGTGTGATTCGTCATCGTCGTCATCAGCTATTAGAGGTAGGACACAGAAAAGCAAATTAGTTTTTGATTGATTTTTCTTCGATTTTTTTCCCTTCGATTTTGCCACAGTGGGTCAATTGAACTGATTTGAGGCAGTGCCTCATCTGCCATTATGATAAAAAGGAAAAAAGTACATAAAATAAATATTAATATTTTCCACTGATCTCTGTTAAAGATGCATTTGCAGTATAACTCTACACATTTATGACATTTTATTATGTAAAAAAACGCCGAATTTGAGTATTTCGGGATCAAACACAATTGGGTCACATGACGCTTAGGGGTTTTTGTTCCTCGGCCAATAAACTGCAGAGAACAATTAGCGGGGACGCAAACAGTACTCTGCCTTACCTCGAGGGGTCGTATGTGAACTGACAGGTGCTCTCCAACTGGCGTCAACAGGCAATTGAAGGTCGGCGCCAAGCGAGATCCAGCAGTAGGTCAAAAACAGCGTTTTCTGTGCACTGCCTGATCCGAACATTTTCTCAAAACTGAACTTTCGGTTCAAACAGATGATGCTAAGTGATGGAAGACCAACGTCGGAGCTAAAAGGTTAGCTTCAAACTACAACGAAAAGACTGGCTGTGCGGCTGTCCTGCAAAAAACCGCCATCATGTGATTACGTATGGACTAACTCGGCATGACCTGAAAAATGTACAAAGAAGCCTCAGCAGACATGAAAGATCAGCCACGATCACCACGAACATTCGAAGACAGATTTAAAAGCTTTTGGAGATTCACGGATCGATTTGGCATTGGATGAGCAACGGAGACTAAACATTAGCATCCACAATGCTAAGGTGAGGGAAAACCGAGGGATACAACCATGGACTTCATCTATGAGTAAAGGTAAGGCTAAAATCGCTTTTTAAAAAAGTTTTTGTTTTTTAAAAACAAGATGAGAGTAAGTAGAAAAAAAAAAGTTTTTGTTTTTTAAAAATAAGATGAGAGTAAGTAGAAAAAAATTAGTATTTGATAACTTTCTTCCTTTTATTTTTTTACGTTATTTATAAAGTGGCCTAATTTTTTTAAATCATTTTGATAGACAACATTTGATAAAAGCACCAGAATTTAAATTTTGAAAAATTACCTAAAATAATAAAAAAAATACTGAAGGTCAATATTAAATTTGTGCTGCACACATATCTATACTTTAGTTTGTTTACAGTAAACATGAATTGCTTAGACACAAGAAGGGTGCTCTATCCCTCCTATTTCTATAAAAGAAACGTTTTTTGTAGAACAAATATGTTCCTGTGTATATGTTTGTGTTGGTGTAATAGAAAGAGGAATACTGATGGGGTTGGTGTAAGTGTAATAGAAAGAGGAATACTGATGGATGATGAGGCGTTACCAGGTGATGCTGTTGTATGGATAGTGAAATAAGATGCTCTTTTCGGTTCTTACAATTGTAAATAGTCAGTGCTTCACCAGCCATGAACTGGCTCTGACACCAATTGTGACATTTCTTCATGGTCTGTAAGACAGTCACAGATTTGACGTGTTTTTGTAGCTCAGTGTAACTCTGAAGCTTGGTGTTGCTCGGCGGGGGTGTTGAGGGGTGTAGGGGAATAGGGTGGCCAAAAATGTGCCTGTGTTTACAATTAGTTAAAAAATACAAAAAACATATGTATGTCTTTGTCTCTGGGTATAAAGGAAGAAAAACGTATCATACTAAACGGGGAAAGGGGGTGTGGTGAATAAAAGTGGACAATGCTCTTCAAAAAAGAAAAATGGAAATTCGGAAGAACATAATGCTTTTATTGTGAAAGGAAAATACACAGCAACTGATTGAATGAAATGTGTAGGGCTTCCGGTTTATCAATGAAAGTCGTGTCTAAGCCAATGGCTAGGTTTGTTTCTTTACTGTAGCTCGGAAAAGTAATAATAATAAGCAGTAATGTCGTTATCCACCGCTCGGTCGTTCCTGTCAGAGGCCTGTTATGGAGAACAGGAGGTCGACGCTAATTCCGCTCTCCTGGAGCTGGACAAAGGTGTGTTAGCGGGGGATGCTAGTGGGTTAGCAGTGACTGTTGGGTCTTTATGTCGCCACCGTTTTTATTGATGAGTGGAATTTATTTGCAGGTCTACGATCTGGAAAACTGGGAGAACAGTGTGAGGCCGTGGTGCTTTTCCCAAAACTTTTCCAGAAGTATCCGTTTCCCATTCTTATCAATTCAGCTTTTTTGAAATTGGCAGACATCTTCAGACTGGGGTATGGAGGATGATACTGTGATGATTTTATAACAAAAATATAAGTAGTTTGTCATTGTAATTCTCTATATACAACGAACAAGAATGCTACAAATGTAAAACATATGTTTATCAATGTTATAAAATAGATCATTGCATTTGGATTAAAGCTTTTAAGCAGAGGCCCTAAACTTATCCAAAGAATTAGAAATATTAACATCTGATGGTGTCAAGACTAGATTTCGTATCAGGGAGTACATTTTGATTCTAAAAGTCACTGTAACAACAAAACTATTTACTAGTCTTTTATTAAAAATTAATCAAAACCACGTTATTCCATAGATGGGATTCAATGTTAATTAAAGTTTGTGTTTTATTTTTCAGGAACAACTTCCTGCGCCTCTGTGTACTGAAAGTTACACAACAGAGTGAGAAACACCTGGAGAAAATCCTCAATGTGGACGAATTTGTCAAAAGAGTCTTTTCAGTCATCCACAGCAATGACCCCGTGGCCAGAGCTATCACACTTAGGTAATATTAGCTCGTGAAATTGAACCAGTAATGAACATTGTGCTGACTTGTAATCAAGGGCCTTTTATCATTATCTCTGTTTCTATTTCTATTAAGGATGCTTGGAAGTCTGGCCTCCATCATCCCAGAGAGGAAGAACGCCCACCACAGCATCCGCCAAAGTCTGGACTCTCATGACAATGTAGAGGTAGAGGCTGCTATATTTGCTGCTGCCAGCTTCTCTGCACAGTCCAAGTAAGTAGATATATTTTTTTTTAAAAGTATAAGATGATGTTGTGGTGAAGAAGGAGCTAAGCTGAAAGTCAAGGCTCTCAATTTACCGGGCAATCTACGTTCCTACCCTCACCTATGGTCATGAACGAAAGAACAAGATCCTGGATACAAGCGGCTAAAATAAGTTTTCTCCGCTGGGTGGCACAGCGCTCCCTTAGAGAGAGAGTGAGTAGTCCTGTCACCCGAGAGGAGCTAAGGCTCCTCTACATTGAAAGGAGTCAGCTGAGGTGGCTTGGGCATTTACATCCTATGTCCCACTGGGAGGAGGCCCAGAGGAAGACCAAAGACACACTGAAGCGATGTAGTCGCTTCAGTGTGTCCTTGGAACGCCTTGACTCTCCAGAAGTGTCTGGGGAGAGGGAAGTCTGAGTGTCACTGCTCAGATTATTGCCCCCGTGACCTGGCCCCGGATAAGCGGACGAGGATGGATGGATGGAGATAAGGTTTTGTTTTAATACTGGTTCTCATTTTCAGAGACTTCGCAGCTGGAATTTGCAACAAAGTCAGTGAGATGATTCAAGGTAGAGACTTTTTTTAACCACTTTGGTGCAACTTGGTCCTGCATTTATACCTGTTTCAGCCATTGTTGTCACTATTTGTTCCTCAGATAATTTGAGTTTCACACTCCTGAAGTGAGAAAAAAAAAGTTAAAAATGTTCTGGTCTTTCTTTTTCTTTGAACTCCTTATTTAACCCAGGCCTGGACACACCTGTGGACCTGAAGCTGAAGTTGATTCCAATGCTGCAGCACATGCACCATGATGCCAGCCTGGCGTCCAGCAGCAGAGAGCTTCTCCAGCACCTGGTCAACTCCTATCCCTCTACACCCATGGTCATCGTCACCCTGCACACCTTCACCCAGCTGGCTGCCGCCTCCCTCATTGATATCCCAAAGCAGGTAAGATGGATCAGATTTAATTTTTTTCCCTTCCTGTATTGTTTAGGGACATAAAAGAGACTTATTAATTGATATTTTTCATACCCACACAGTTGCAGCTTCTGCTTCAGTACCTGAAAGATGACCCGAGAAAAGCTGTGAAGAGACTCGCAATCAACGACCTGAAGCTCCTGGCTAAGAAGGCTCCGCATCTTTGGATCAAAGAAAACACACAAGTAGGTTTTTATGCTGTTGAGCTGAATTTTCTCCTGGGTTCTCCATGTCGGTGGTTGAACTAATATGAATGTTTACTTCTGCAGACTCTGTGCGAGTGTGCCCTGTCCAGCCCTTACATCAGCCTGAAGCTGGGAATGTTGGCTGTTCTCTCCACACTGTCTGGAACAATCGCAATCAAGCAGTACTTCAGTAATATGACAGGTAGAAACATTTATGAAACACCCACAGTCAAACAAAAACAGTGGCGTATTGTAAGGAACAGGTTAATGTTGCACTGTATTTGTGCTGATATTTTGAGGTATAAAGGCCTGGTGTGGTATTAGTCGATGACTGCAGCTGTTGATCAGTGTCGTAGCATCATAACTAATCTGTCCGTACATTTGTCTGTGTATTGTGAAAGAGAAACTCTCAGATGATCTGGACTGATGTGTGTTTTAATCCCACATTCAGGTGGTTCTTCAGTTGCCCCACGGCTCACTGACCTGGTTAAACTGGCACAGGAATGCTGTTACCACAGCAACCTGGCAGTGGCTGCACATGGGATCGTGGTCCTGGCCAACATCACTGTGTCCTGTCCAGAAAATGGTGAGCTACACTGGGCGAGTGGTCCCCCCCCCCCTTATTACAAAGGGCTATTGTGGAGACACACACCACACAACAAATCAATCACAACTTTTGCAATCTAAAATTAATTTCACGTGTAGGGCCCTGCCCCGTGGGAACCACTTTGCTAGGCAACAGTCACTGATTCTACCACAGATTTAGCTCCAGTGATTTGCTTCTGTGCTCAGTGCTTCTGTGTGTATTTCTCTACAAAGATGTAGCACAACTTGAGCAGGAAATAGTTCTGGCCGTGGAGTCTCTGCTGATGCTTTGCAGTCAGGACAACGGCCCCGGTGCCCAGGCCACACTCAAAGTAAGTCCAGACAAATGAGACACAGTCACAACACAAATGAAACTGTTTGGATTTAACAGCACAATACTTGAACAAATCTTACAACTAAATCTTACTTCAGTCTTTCTGCTGTCTTGTGTTGCTCCGTAGACAGCCCTCACCTCATTGGTAAAGCTGCTGAAAAGTCGGCCACATCTCAGCCAATCAGCCGTGGACTTCCTGCTGGGCCAGCTGCACTTGTCCTGCGATTCTTCCCGTGTTCTTATGTGTCACGCTCTGGCAGCCATCGCCACCCACCTGCCCGTACTGGGTGACGGAATGCTGGGAGATCTGGTGGACCTGTACAGAGTGGCCAGTCTCTCCTCCACTGACAAGCAGCAGGAGCTTCTGGTGAGAGATTTGGCTTTATTTAGCATTCATTTTTAGCTGGTAATGCAGAGTTATCACTGCAGGAGTGTTTCTTCCTGGATGGATGAAGAGTGGTCCTGAAGTCCACAATCTGCTTCTTTTTTTTTTTTTTGATTTTTTCCAAAGAAATGTGTTTTTCTTTATCTCCTCTATTTTCTGCCCCTGTTTATTTTTCTGCAGGTTTCCTTGGCTACGGTGATTTTTGTAGCCAGCCAGTCATCTCTGTCGGCCGAAGTGAAAACAGTCATCAAACAGCAGCTGGAGAAAGTCGCTAACGGCTGGACCGTATACCGCATCGCACGGCAGGCCTCTAGAATGGTAAACAAATGTGAAATGTGTTTGTATACAGGACGACAGGCCTCCACATGACTCCTCTCACTGGAATGTTTATTGTGTATCCTTCACTTCCAGGGTTGCCACGAGTTCTCCAGTGAGCTGTACCAAAGTCTGAGGACGCGTGTGGCTTCAGAGCATTTCTACTTTTGGCTCAACAGCCTGAAGGAGTTCTCCCAGGCCGAGCAGTGTCTGAGTCACGTTGAGGACGGAGACTACAGCGGAGCCATGAGCGCCATCGCAGAGGCACTGCGCTCCTACCAGAAGGGCATCGCCTCCCTCACAGTCAGTTTAACAGACGGGTCTCTGCTTTCCAAAATACATCACCACAGTTTCTCCGTGATGGCAGGGAGCTCACAGACACCCAGACAGCTGAGAGTGTGTGGACTGTGCATTTTTAAGACACTGCTAAATAGTACTTGATTATCTTTGGAAGCAGCCAGAGACACAGATTTGTCTCATTAACTTTAACCTTGTTACATCTGCAAAATCTTAAAAGGTTGTCCCTTTGTTCAATTGCCATGAACTTCCAGTTGGTTCCAGTGCAATATTAACTCCTTTGAACATCAACTGTGATCCTGGTTGAAGTGGAGCAGATGTGATGCCAGATAGGTGTCAGAGAAGTCTATTCTGAAATCCCTTAGATGTATCATAATCTTAAGCAGGTATAGATTGTTGAGTGTCTCCTAAAGGCTGTGTTCAATATAAGTGCATGTCCATGTCGGTATAGATTGTTGAGTGTCTCCTAAAGTGTTCAATATAAGTGTGAGTGCATGTCCATGTAAAAGCCTGGTTCTTGGCCTCATCATTGACTACTTATTCAACAACTTTGGAACTAAATCCCTGGAATATACCTTTAATGATTTTACACTAATACACTAATAAAGGCTCTTTAATGATTAATCCTTCTTCTCCAGGCTGCCAGCACCCCACTGAGCCCGTTAACGTTCCAGTGTGACTTCATTAAGCTGCGTATCGATACTCTTCAAGCCCTGTCGCAGCTCATTTGTACCTGCAACAGCCTGAAAACCAGCCCGCCTCCCGCCATCGCCACTACCATCGCCCTCACCTCTGGCAACGACCTGCAGCGCTGCGGCCGCATCTCACTGCAGGTGGAACACTGACTGTGTCCAGCAGGACATCAGTCCTTTTATACATTATCAGACAGCGTTCTGACAGCCTCAGGCTAAAGTTATACTGTATTCACTGTCAGCATTTTGATCAAATATGTCGCGCAGATCATTGGCCAGAGCTAAGACTAACGTTTTTAAAGTCAAAATGAATGTTATATTATTTGAACAGATGAAAAGTGGCTTTTATTTTCTACCGGGGACCTGGGTCTGAACCTTTTGTTTTTCAGATGAAAGTGTGCATGGACGAGTTCAGAAGTCTGGCAGCGCGATACGCTGATTTACACCAGTCCTCGTTTGATGCTGATTATGCAACTCTTCGTAACGTGGAGCTGTATCCTAAACTGGGATTTAGTTACACCTCAGTCACTAAGGTTTTTTTGTTTTGTGTGATAAATGTGACTTTAACTCACTGTTCAGACAACAACAGAGCTGTTTGCTCGTCTCCCACGTGATAGAAGCGTTAATTTTGGATCCACAGGCAGCCAGGTGAGCCCTGAAAATTGAATTACTGACATGTAATTGTTGAAGTTGATTTATATTCAAAACACAAACCACCAAATTACTATAATAATCTTCAACAATTTAGAACCATCTCTTTAGGATGTTGCTTTGGTTTTACTAACAAATCAACTCTCTGTGCCCGTGATGTAGTTTTCAAGAGTCTGGCGCCTTGGGTTCGGTCCAAACAGAGAGTGAATACGAGCGACGCATGATTTCTGTTTTCAATCATGTCTTGGAGGAGGTGGACGGCCTGGCCAAGAAACACCCACCAGTGTCACACCTGGTAATTTGTACCCACCTTTCATGGTGAAATTAGCAAACAAACCTGGGTCTAGCTTTTGCTTTTGTCACCGAAACACTGTCCAACTTCACTGCTCTCTGGCGCCACCTTCATTTATCATGATAAAAGAAATATCTGCACCCTGTCCTGGTTGCCTTAAATCAGGGTGGTTTTTGCCTTATCCTACAGTATATTGAAAAATGAAAATACCAGTTTTTTCAGTTGTTGTATCCACATTTAATGTATTGTCTCAAAAATGTGACACATCAGTGAAGCCAACATCACATTTGTCGTTGTTTCTCAGCACACAGGCTGTCTCTGTGACGCCGTCATTGCACTGCTCAAAGTTCCGCTGTCCTTCCAGAGGTACTTCTTCCAGAAGCTCCAGTCAACCAGCATTAAGGTAAAGAGCAGTAACTTTGTCTATAACTGGCTGAAAATGAGTGACAAAAAAAATCAGGGGTGAAACTCATACATTTAACTGCTGTTATTTGTCTTTCTGGCTCAGAGAAAAAAGTGTAAATTTAATCGTGAATAATCATTTAATACTAGAGTATGCTTTTTGTATTTCTAGCTCGCTATTTCTCCATCCCCTCGAACTCCCAGTGAACCAATCCCAGTGCAGAACACCCAGCAACTGACCCTCAAAGTGGAGGGCGTGGTACAGCACGGTTCAACTCCAGGGCTCTTCAGGAAGATCCAGTCGGTCTGCCTCAACGTCACGTCCGTTCTCCAAAGCAAGAGTGGATCAGACTTTAAAGTACGCTCGGCAGCCAGTATATGTAATTGTTTCGTGCAGAGGGCAGGAAAGGTGTCTGTTTATATCACAGTCTGTTTATTTTTTTTCCCTTTCAGATTCCGCTTGACACCAAAACGAATGAGATCGAGCAGCGCGTGGAGCCACA